GTCTATAATGCAGGGTCTGAGCCTCCCCCGTGGAAATCCTGATTCCAGAAGTCTGGGGTTGGGGACTTAGAACGCTGTCTCTTCATAGCCTCCTCCTGGTGAATTGAAGGCACTTCCAAGTTTGAGAACCACGTGTGTTGACAGATAAGGAAACTGAGATCCAACCCCAATGCCTTTGGGAGTTCGTTCCCATCCTGGATCCAACGTTTAAGGTCCTGTTCTCGAGGGCCCCAGCCTGCTCTGCCAGCCCGACCGCCTTTCCTCCCAAGGTGCCGCGCACCTGCCATGCCTGCAGTTCAGGAATCCCCTGCTCTAGCCAGACTGGCTTCTGTGGGCATTTTCGTCCAGGCCACGTCCTCTTCCACAGAATGCCTGCCTCAGCCCCTCTGCTTATTCCAAACCTGCTCAAGTCTCCAGGCTCAGCTGAGGGAAGCTGAGACAGGAGGGGGCGAGAAGACTTCTGAAGCCTTCCCTGATAGCCCTGGGCCCTGTGGTCTCTCCTCCCTGAGCTCCCAGGTCTCTGAGGGTCACCCCCACCTGCCTAGCCTCACAACGGCCGTCACAACAACACCTGGCACTGCGCTGGCTGTCAGCACCTCAACAGCATCCGCTTAGCGTCTGCACGAATGTCATCAGGTCCCAGACTCTTCCGGTTTATCCTCACCCACCCTGGGACGTGAGTGCCATTCACCTCTGCTCCTCAGAGGACACTGAGGCCCAGAGGAGCTGAGTGACTCACCCGAGGCACCACGGTAAGAGACAGAACCCAGACGCAAGCTGGCTAATGGGCTTCAGGGACATGGCGCAGTCATTCACGGGTAGGACACCTTCCCGGCCCACACAGAGAGCTCCCCCCTCCCAGGCTGAGGGCAGCCTCACACACTGCTGGGACCCAGCTGGGGCCCAGAGACCAGAGCCTGGCACACAGCATGAAATCAATCCACACGTATTCCTTGACTTATAAATATTTGCAGGAGGCAAACAGCATGGTGGTGAAGAGCTCCAGCCCTGGAGGCAGATGCTCATTCTGGTTCTGATATTTAAAAACCCGGTGTGAGTGAGACAAGCTCGGTGCCTCAGTTTCCTCTTCTGTGGGAACAATAATCGTATCCACTTCACAGGGCTATTGTGAGAATTAATGAGGTAATGCAAATTACATAGAATAATGCCAGCGCAGAGTAAAATATGTGCTGTCATTGTTTTTGGCTGATGGATTTCTAATCTGGCTAGGCCCGGGCCACGTCTAAACGTAACTGTTTCTCTAGCTGCTGTCTTGGGTCTTTAAGATCCAAATACACAATGTCCTGGGCTAGGCTGCATCTGCTCTACTTTCTGTGGGGGTCCCAAGTACAACGGAGCTGTAAGAACTCAATATCTGGAGTCATGAAGTCATGGGTTTAAGTTCAGGTTCTGCCTTCTGGTCTCTTGGGTCTCAGTTTTGTTCTCTGTCAAATGGGTATAAGGCTCATTGGAAGGCTTAGCAGGAAGATCCTGGTGGGGGTGGGATAAAGTGACTGCTCCTTCCCTGCAGCTCCTGGACCCCACCCCACCATCTAATGTACCCACACCACCCCCCACCCCCCTTGGCCTCCTTACCTTCCTGTGTCCCGTGAAAAAGAGGGAAAGATGGTGCATGGAGCCGCCGTTTCGGCCCAGTTCCTTCTTGAGGGTGCGGGGCGAAGGTATGGCCCAGGAAGAGGTAGTGCCCTCTCCGTCAGAGCAGTTCAAGGTGGTGTCGGAGGAGAAGCAGGGCCCGCGGGGCTCCTGCAGGAGGCTGCCCTCGCTGTGCGTCCGGCGCCGCAGCGAGTTCTGCACTCGCAGCGAGAAGCCGCCCTCGGCACCCTGGCCCGTCTCTATCATGCTGCTGCGCTTGGCCTCGCTGTGCTCTCCGTAGTTGTCATCACTTGTGTCCTCATCCTCATCTTCCTCCCCCTCATCCCCCTCCTCAGCCTCTTCTGCATCCTCCTCATCCCCGGAGCTGCCGCCCTCTGCCTCTGCCTTCTGGCTGTAGGCACTATCCAGCCGGACCTCAGGAATCACAAAGGCTGGCCTGGCGGCCACAGGCGGGCCCCCGGTGGCTGCTGGAGGGTCCCCAGAGCCCGTGGTCTCAGCAAGGGCCTCAGCTGGTTCCGGGGCCTGGCTGGGGGGTAGGTCTTGACAAGGCGAAAGGTCCTGAGCAGGAGGGTCCTGGATGGTAGGGAGGTCTTGGCTGAGTAGAGGGTCTTGGCTGGGAGAGGGCTCTTGCTTAGCAGGAAGGTCTTGGCAGGGAGGGAGGGCCTGGGCTGCAGGGGGTTCCTGGCATGGTGGGGAGTCCTTGGTTGGTGAGGGTTCCTGGCGTGGAGGGGGTTCCTGGCATGGTGGGGAGTCCTTGGTTGGTGAGGGTTCCTGGCGTGGTGGGGGTTCCTGGCAGGAAGCTGAGTCTTTGCTCGATAGGGATTCTTGGCCAGGAGATGGTTCCTGGCCAGAAGAAGAGTCCTTATTGAGTGGAAGGTCTTGTTCCAGAAGAGGCTCCTGTCCAGGAGAGGGGTCCTTGCTGGGTGGGGGGTCGTCGGCACCTGGCCCCTTCCCTTCCTCCAAGGGCATCTCCCTTTTCTCATCCACCTCCGACTCAAACATCTGGGAAACAAAGAGAAAACAATAAAGGTTCAGAAGAGGCGGTTACACGGTGCCAGGTACTGCGCACGCAGAGGCTGAAACAAAATCAGGCAGTGGCCTGAACCCCACACCCGCACCCTGCACCCCGCAGTCTGAAAGCCGAAGCACCAGATGGAAACCTAAAAGCCCCTTTGGTCCCAGCCTTAACTCCTTGCTCAAAACTACCGCCCCATCAAAAACATGAGGGGAGGAGAGGTAACCACCATGATCTGGCTCCAATTGTGTGCCAGGGGCTCTGCCAGATTAAACCCCTTATGCAATCTTCCCCGTGGCCCTCTCAGGCAAGTCCCGCTGTGGGTAAGTCACCTCTATGAGTAAAGGGGAAGCCAGGCCCTCTCTGCGTTCATGGACTAGAACCAAACCAAGCCCCAAGCCACAGCAGTCACTAAGTGGGAGAATCCTGGACGCAGCCAAAGGGTACCTTCTACCTGAACCGAAGTTTTTTTTAAAAGCCTAATGAATTGTTCAAATAAGAGCTTGCTCTCAACAAAATGAAAAGACAACCCACTGTATGGAAGAACATATTCGCTAATGATACACCTGATAAGGGGTTGATTTCCAAAATATATAAAGAACTTATACAACTCAACACCAGGGAGACAAACAATTCAATTAAATCCCGGGCAAAATCAGGACTGAGTGAGATGTGCCAGTCACGCCTTGGAGCCCTCCCATGTCCCTCCCTGGTCCCAATCATGCACCAGTGGGGTCCCTCAGCCTGGCCTGGCCCTCTCACAATCTGGGACCCCTCAGGGGATGTTGGAGAGCAGTTTTGGCCCAATCCCACAGGCCAGGCTGAGGGACCCCACTGGTGCATGAATTCGTGCACCGGGCCTCTAGTAAATCAATATACAAGTGCTGGTGGGAATGCAGACTGGTGCAGCCACTGTGGAAAACAGTATGGAGTTTCCTCAAAAAATTAAATATGAAACTCCATTTGACCCAGCGATCCCACTTCTGGGAATATGTCCTAAGAATCCCAAAACACCAATCAGAAAGAACATATGCACCCCTATGTTCATAGCAGTGTTATTTACAATAGCTAAGATCAGGAAACAGCCCAAGTGCTCATCAGTAGATGAATGGATAAAAGAGCTGTGGTGCATTTACACAATGGAATACTATGTAGTAGTAAAAAAGAAGGGTCTCTTACCCTTTGAGACAGCATGGATGGACCGGGAAATTTTTATGCTCGAGAAAAAAGCCAGTCAGAGACAGACAAATATCACATGATCTCACTTATATGTGGAATCTAATGGACAAAGTAAACTGAAGAACAAAATAGGACCAGAGACATGGATGCATGGAACAGACTTACAGATCTCAGAGGGGAAGGGGGTGGGAGGACTGGACGAGATTAACAAAAGAATTTATAAGCATATATGCATAGTCCATGGGCACAGGCAATAATGTGGTGAAGGCCTGCGGTGGGGCAGGGTCTAGGTGGAGGGGGGCCAAGGAAGGGTTGGGAGACATCTGTAATACTGTCAATAATCATCTTTTAAAAAATAACTTACTCTCAATGTTTAAGTATCTTTTTTCAAGTAGCTGTTTAATACTAAATGGAATGAAACAAGAACTTCAAAATATTGCCGACACATGGACTAAACAGATGTCACGGACACGTGGACCCTCACTGAGGGAGCACCCAGGGACGTTTAAACTGAGCTTGGAGGAACCTCGGGAGTTCCCCACACAGAAGAGAAAGCATTTGCTGCCTTGCCCACAACCCCGAGAACCCTCGGCGTTTTTGCTGGGCTCCTGTAGATTTCACTTGCAAAGGGGAAAAGAGTGCCCTGGAGGAAGTCTGAATGCAGCTGTCTCCCATGGAGACTGGGGCGCAGAGGTGGGGAGTGTCCACAGTGCCACAGTCACGGGGGAAGCGTGTCTCGGGCCTGGGCTCATCAGAGTCCAGGACTTGGAATGCTGTGGCTAGAACTATGTAGAGCCCAGTTTTTGTCCGTGAAGAGGCCATAACCAACTAGTACTAATGAAAAAGAAAGGCACCACACCTACACAGAAACTGTACAGCTGCATGAGAATGTGTGCAGACGTAGGTGTACACACACACACACACACACACACACCCCTACAACACAGTTCAGAGTTCTTGCAACAGAGACCCTTAATGTCCATTTCACAGATGAGAAAGCTGAGCCAAGGAGCAGTGAGTGACTTACTGCACAGCCACCCAGAGACTAAAAGGCTGCACCAGAGGCTGAGAAAACCCGTTAGCCCTCAGGAGGCTGTGAAGCCCCACCCAGACCTCGCATCTGGGAGTAAGTGGCCAGCCAGGTGCTGCATGTGTGTCAGGGGTCACACAGGCGTGTGGGAGCACCAGAGGGGATGTGAAAGCACAGTGTGGGTAAGAACCACTGCCTGGGAGCATGAAAGTGAAAGTGCCCAACCCCCGCAGAGATGGTGGCTGCGAAAGGGAGGGGAGGCCTCAGAGGACTGGAGGATGGTCCCCAGGCAAAGCCAAAGACAGGTGCCCACGCACCCCATGGACTCTTTGCCCTGGAAATCCTGCCCGAATCTGGGAGATGACACTCCCCGGAGATGACACTCAGGCCTCGCAGCCTCAGACCCTGAAACATGAGCAATCCCAAATCCCCATTGCACAGAGAGGGAAGCTGAGGCCCCGAGAGGGGCAGGGGCCAACCTACACTCACACTGTGGGGTCAGGTAGAGTCAGTCACTAAATCCTCGGGGCCTCCATGGGACATCCAACACGCCCAAGTAACAGCCAGGAGAACATACTATGGAAAGTTAAAGCTCTCAATGGGATTATGGTGCTGGTAGGCATGGTGACTAAAAATAGACCGAGAGGGAAATGCTGCGATCACAGACCTCAAACAGCATCATGCCTTTCCCAGGGGCCCCTGGGAGCCAACCCAACACCCCGAAATCAAAGTCAGTGGTTGTGATGCCAGGTCCCCCAATGCAGAAATCTCACCTGGAAACTAAGGGCTGCTCCCAGGCGGACAGAGAAAGCCTCAGCTGCACGGACAGGAAGACTGAGCCCAGCCTGGACAGTCACCTAGGGACTTGCCCAAAGGCACCAATCAGGGCCAGGCGGGGGTTAGAGCCTCAGGCCTCCAGCTCCTTCTCCCCAAGCCTCCTTCAGATCTCAGTCCCCAGAGCAGCCCGGATCCCCGCCCATCGCCCCACCCACCAGGGAGCGGTCTCCACCAAGAAAAACAAACTGCCCAAAGCCAGCTCCCTGATGATCCACACAGGCTCAGCTCAGCCCCACCTGGGAGGACCATGGAAGGAAGCAGCAATCATGCCCTTGGGCCAGGCACCCAGTGGCCCCGAGAAAGGAGCAGCCTCATTTGCATTCCCCCTTTCCTGGAGGGTGGGGTGGGGGTGGGGGTGAGGCCCAGGGGTGCCTGCAGCCTGCCTGAGCCTGCCCACCCCTCAGGAAAGTGCAGCAACAGACCCAAAACCAGAAATGCAAGTCAGCCTGCCTCTGCCAATCTTGCCCTAAACCGAGGCCAAACCAAACAAAGCCCGGAGGACAAGTGCCTCTGTCCCCAGGGGTGCCCTGCCCGGGCAGCTGAGAAACCACCGAGGACGGAAAGGCTCTCAGAGTGCCCAGCATTTGGGTGCTCAGATGCCAGAGTCAGACTTTGGTTTTGATCCCTGTAGGGTCACTTTCCAGCTGTGCCACTCTGGCCAAGCCCCCCAGCCTCCGAGAGACACAGAGCCGTGATATCATCCCGGATCACAAGAGTGGTCCCTCAGGCCTGGCCCAGGAGAAGCATTTGATGAAATGGTGGCTATTATCCGTCTAAGGATGGGGAACTGAGCTCAGAAAATGACCTAAGAAATCGGAGACTGATTCGGTCATGTCTCCTGGCAGAGGGTCTCGCCCTGCTTCCTTAGACCCTTGCACACAAGTTGTTTGGGACCCTCAGGGGTCTAGAAGGGGGAGCAGGCTGAGCACCACCAAACTTAGGCTCGTCCCCCACAGGCAGATACTTGCAAACAGGGACCAGAGCTCACTGGCTCTGTCCTGTGCTCCTGATGGGCCACCAGGCAGGTTTGGTCAGGCCAGTGTTCTTTGGAGAGCTGGGATGGGGGTGCCTTTCAAGGAGGGGGCCTCTGGAGCAAATACAGGAAACCTCAGAAGTCTGGGGGGAGGGGTGGCACGTGAGAGAATTAGGAAAGGAGAGGAGATAAAGATGAGAACATGTCACAGAATAGATAGATGCCAGCCATGGGACTGTCCTGTGAGCAAAGAAGTGACACATGCAGAGGCATCCTACACGAAAAGTGCTCTGGGCAGGATGAGCAGGGCAGGGGGTGGGGGGGACTGGGACAAAGTGCATTCATTCATTCATTCATTCTCCAGGCACAGAGTGAGGCCCTGGGGCACAGCCGAGGACAAGTCAGACACAATCCTTGCCTCGGTTACCTGAGCAGAAAAAAACAAAAGGTTGGACACAATCCTTGCCTCGGTTACCTGAGCAGAAAAAAACAAAAGGTTGGACAATTGGTCTTGTCGAGCGTGGTGAGTGCTCTGATGGAGGAAGTGCAGGCAGCGGGGACACCCAGCTAGGCAGCTGTTGCAACTAACTGGGGTGACAACAACCCAGCCAGAGAGATCAGTCTGCTGGCCCATGGCCTTGAGTCCCGAGTCCTCAGTGCAGCTGCCCCTCTCCTGCGGGGAGTCCCTCACCCCCACCCATCACTTCCTTGGCGTGGCTGGACCAGGGTTAATTCTGTCCATGTCTCGCCTGCTAGAAGCACACAGGAAATGAACCAGGCCCTCTAAATGGAGCTGCTGTTGAGGATCTAATCAAATCCTCTCCCCAATCCAATCCAGGGCTCGGAACGGGCTGAGGAAGGCTGGCAGGTGTGACACCAGAGCTCTTGCTCACACCAGCTCTGGCTTCTAGCCCCCGATCCCCACCAGCGAACGCAGCTGGGGACGGCAGTGAGCGGCTGGGACTGAC